TTTTACATTTTATTAATATTATTTATGTTTTTAAGAAGCTGGTTATGCATTTTATTAAATATGCCAAAGGCAGCTTATTATAATAATTTAATATTTTTTGTCATTGATTACAAAAACTTCAAAGTTTCAAAGTTGAAAATAATTAACAGAAATGTAAATAAATAAATATATATATATATATATATATATATATATATATATATATATATATATATATATATATATATATATATATATATATATATATATATATATATATATATATTAGGGATGGACAACATATCGAAGACCATAACGTTATCGGCCGATAAATGCTATTTTTAAGATAATCGTTATCGATCCGATGTCTATATTAGTCCGATATCTTTAAGCCGATAAATTAAGTAATTGTACAGACCTGCCTGCCTCGTGCACGCGTGGGCGGAATATGTTCAGACTTGTCCAGTGCACTCTAATGGAGCTCTCCTCACACTGTGAAAGGATTAAGTCCATCTTTTCTTCATGTGGTATTGCTGAACGTTAATAACTCAGCAAGTAACCATGTTCCTTATCATTGTAGATATGTTTGATTGAGTGCCATTGTGTATTTTGCTTTAAATCACCTCAGAAAAAAAAATTACACGTGTAAACATAAGAGCAGTAGTGCACACGTGCTAAACAACTAGTTGGGTTGTTTGTAATCTAATATGATTATTTGTTATTAACGCGTTGCTTGCCATGTGTTGTTGATGCAAGATTGTATAGTTCGATCAGAATATTCATAGATTATAACGAGCGTACGTGAGAGCTGTCACTGCACACGCGCACAGCCAGTTAGGTTCAATACATACCTCGGTTTTTTAACACAGTTTTTGGTTTGGTTCTCATGGCTTGACACATCTTTTTTTTTCATTAGGCAATAGGAACAGTAAGAGGGGTTAAGGAGAACAAAATAAAAACGATTTTTTGCAATACTCATTTTGTTTCAATGAAAAGCCAAGAAAAGTACACTAGTGTATTGAAAAAAAAATTAACCCTGAAATCCTATTGCTGGCGGTAGCCCATGTACAAACTGGGGAACACATAAAATCCTACACTTTGAAAAGTTAATAAAGATAAATTGGCATTTCAAATAAACATATTTGTACTTAAGTAAGCATAAATAAACCATCTTAATTATCTCGGTGCTGAAAAAAATGCAAGACTTTAGTCTGTAACGCAGATCGAGTGCTTTTATAAGATGAAAAATATAAAGGCAAATCTTTAGCAATAAACAGCCGCACTGTCTTTGTTTCATGTGTCTCTCGGAACCAGTTGGGTATGTTTGCTTGAAAGATTCAGCGAGGAATTGTTGCTATTTGGAGGACTTTATTACCTTCTCTGCTATTCTGCCTTTAGGCAGTGATATTGCTGGGTGATGGCGCTGCAGATGTGCAGTCATGGTTATACGTGTAAAACAATGCTTGCACACAGTCAGGGGTGGACTGGCAATCTGGCAATTCTGGCAAATTCTGGCCAATTTAGAAATCTGGGCCAGTCAGTTTTTTTTTTTGTATGTTTTGTTTTTAAGTACAGACACCTTTCATCTCTTGCTAGATGTGATATTATGATGATGATAATAAAAATAATAATAATAAATGTTAAGCATTTGGCCCAATTGGCAACTGCCGCCTCGTTTCAACATGGGCCGACCCAATCCAAGATTACCCGGACATAATCAAAATCTGGCAAGAATGTCATATTATTTCACCATCTTTACACCAAAATAAATAGTGAATGTGCGTGTCCGTGGATGGGGCTGTGTCAGTGTGGTAATGTGGGCTGGTGTGGCAACAGTGCCAGGGCTGAATTTTCGTCCCAGTCCGGCCCTGCACACAGTTATTTTTTGTTCACCGTTTTTTCTTATATTGGCATTATACTCACCGGCAAAACCGAAATGTCCTCATATCGCAGATTTGAAAGACGCCGGCGCTTCCATGTACTGTTGCCTCAGCCTCACTTCACCGCCGCTCGCCATTATAAAGTGTGGAATGATGGTCAAGCGCCCCCTAACTTTAGAGCATAGTGATTGGATATTTACTCGCGGGGAGGAGTTTCCTCAACTCAGCTCATAGACTTACAGGCACAAACAGTCAATTCGGGGAGATATAAAATGCACCTAAATTGTTTAAACGCAAAACCAAGAAAACGGCAATTCACAAGCCCGTATTGAACCGTGGATGTCGTACCGAACGGTTCAATAGTATAATGAGAACCGTGGCATCCCTAATATATATATATATATATATATATATATATATCTTACTTCATTAATTTTCCTTTGGCTTAGTCCCTTATTTTTTCAGGGGTCGCCACTGCGGAATGAAAAGCCAACTATTCCAGCATATGTTCACACAGTGGATGCCCTTGCCATCATATGATATTGTATGTCATCATTTTCTAGCTAAATTATTATACTTGGCATTTATTTTTCAGTACAGCAGAGTTAATGTTAGGAAGAACATATTTAAATTTATATTTCTATACATACTGTTAGAAATAAAACCCTTTCCTTTTGTCATTTAAAGTAAATTTAGACATTATTTTTAGAGCAATTTTGTGTATGAGAATTTGGTTCAATGGCAGTATATTCAGCCTAGAATAAAAATAGGGTGACGCAGTGGCACAGTAGGTAGTGCTGTCGCCTCACAGCAAGAAGGTTGCTGGGTCGCTGGTTCGAACCTCGGGTCAGTTGGCGGTTCTCTGAAGAGTTTCCATGGGTGGGTTTTGCGCGTGGGTTTCCTCCAGGTTGTCTGGTTTCCCCCAGTCCGAAGACATGTGGTACAGGTGAATTGGGTAGGCTAAATTGTCCATAGTGTGTGTGTGTGTGTGTGGGTGGATGTTTCCCAGGGATGGGTTGCGACTGTAAGGGCATCCGCTGCATAAAAACTTGCTGCATAAGTTGGCGGTTCATTCCGTTGTGGCGTGCCCGGATTAATAAAGGGACTAAGCCGACAAGAAAATGAATGAATAATAAAAATACAGGTGCACAATAAAATAAAATACAGGTGTGCAAGATTACATGCAACAGTTGTACTGCAAATAATATATATTTTTTCTAGATGATGCATGTTTACAGGTGTACATAAATATTTTAGTTTTTATCATGGTGTATATATTGCTAATGTACAGTACATGTAAGTTACATATGTCTATATATAAGAATGCATATAAATGCACTGTGTATATGTATTTTTATCATCATTTGTTGTTGCTTTGGATGAAAGTGTTTGCTATATCAAAACAATGTAAATGTAATTGTTGTTAAAGTGGATCAGCAGGTTATAGTCGATCAAACTGTATTCCAAACTTTGTACCCCAAACATGACTCCGGTACTCACCTTCCCTGAATACTGCGACATGTTCCCTGCCTTGATCCTGCAACTATCCACTGGAATGACAGAAAGCAACCGGAGGGAAAAATCTGGCCTGTCTGATATATGTGGCCTTTACGCTATGAGGAGCTATCGCGAGGTTTTGCCCACAAAAGCGCCACAATAGAGAGCTTAGCAATTTCTGCATGATGGACAGATTCTCTTAGACTGGGCTCTGCTGATATCGGAGTTCAGGAGGGCGAGATGCACAAAGGCCCTGCACTCACTCTATTGTGCTAAAGCTCTGATTTACAGTCAGTGTTTGGGTCTGTGTGAACCACTGATGCTGCAGCTGCTGGCACACAGTCAAAACACAACAAACACCGACACAACACACACATATATCCATCCATCTATCCATCCATCTATCTCCCGTCTGTCCGTGCGTCCATCCATCCATCTATCTATCTGTCAGTCTATCTATCCATCCGTTTGTCCGTCTGTCTGTCCGTCCGTCCGTCCGTCCTTCCATCTATCTATCTATCTATCTATCTATCTATCTATCTATCTATCTATCTATCTATCTATCTATCTATCTATCTATCTATCTATCTATCTATCTATCTATCTATCTATCTGTCTATCTGTCTGTCTGTCTGTCTGTCTGTCTGTCTGTCTGTCCATCATTCCATCCATCCATTTATCCATCTATCCATTTGTATGTCTGTCCATCCGTTCATCTATCTATCCGTCTGTCTATCCATCCATCCATCCATCCATCCGTCTGTCATTTCATCCATCCATCCATCTGTATGTCTGTCCATCCGTTCGTCTATCTATCTATCTATCTATCTATCTATCTATCTATCTATCTATCTATCTATCTATCTATCTATCTATCTATCTATTTGTCTGTCTGTCCATCATTCCATCCATCCATCCATCTGTATGTCTTTCCGTCTATCTATCTATCTATCTATCTATCTATCTATCTATCTATCTATCTATCTATCTATCTATCTATCTATCTATCTATCTATCTATCTATCTATCTATCTATCTATCTATCTATCATTCCATCCATCCATCCATCCATCCATCCATCCATCCATCTATTTGTATGTCTGTCCATCCGTTCGTCCGTCTGTATATCTATCTATCTATCTATCTATCTATCTATCTATCTATCTATCTATCTATCTATCTATCTATCTATCTATCTATCTATCTATCTATCTGTCTATCTGTCTGTCTGTCTGTCTGTCTGTCTGTCTGTCTGTCTGTCTGTCTGTCCATCATTCCATCCGTTCGTTCGTCTGTCTGTCTGTCTGTCTGTCTGTCTGTCTGTCTGTCTGTCTGTCTATCTATCTATCTATCTATCTATCTATCTATCTATCTATCTATCTATCTGTCTGTCTGTCTGTCTTTCTGTCTGTCTGTCTGTCTGACTTTTTCTTGACCTTACAAGAGAATCAACAGGAAGGAAATTGCAAACATTTCTACGTACAATCGCTGCAACACAACACACTGCAAACAGAAGACACACACACACACACACGCATACACACAAAGTTTTGAAATACTGCTTTATTTTCCTGTGTCAAGACCATCAATTCAGCGGGGCGTTTGCCCAGGCTTGGTCTGTTTACAGAGAGCGAGAGAGAGAGAGAGAGAGAGAGAAAGAGAGCAAGAGCAAGATGATAAGAAACTGTAGGACAAAGGTGAGGCTTCATAAAGACACAGACCGAAAGAGCAGCAGATTTATTCAATCCACTCGCATATAAAGGTGAGTTCATTTTATTCACAAGAATTACTTTTACAGCACATAATAAAAAATTCAAATTGCATAGATATAAAACGAAAGATAAAACTTTATTGATCTACTTTGGGAAGTATTATGACAGCTGAGATAAGACTAGTGGCTTGTTGTGGTGTGTTTATAATGCTTTGGTTTGGTTATGTGTTGCTGTAGAACTTATTAGACCAATATAATCTTAAAATGAGTTTATTGTCACCAGTCTAACGTCAGTTTTTCTACAGTTTGTTTCCAGAATGATGAAGTTTCTGATATTGGCTGTTGTTCTTATGCTGGCTGTGACCGGCGGTGAGTCTTCTTAGGGCTTTCCTGTCATAAAACAGACCTACAGTATGATGCATTTAAACTATGTTCCGTGCGCTGAAATATACATAATAACAACTTCAGTCGTACTAAACTATTGCAAGTTGAATTTGTCTAGATTTAGCATTTCTAGGGATTAGATTTTGGAAAATGCTCACTATAGAATAGCAAAAAACTGTCGAAGCTGCCAAAACAAAAGGTTTATTGATGATTTATACATGTGCATTAAAATGCTGAGATGCGATAGAATATATTAGGAAGTTAGCCAATTAAATGTATCTGCAATAATGAGCTCACATCATCCAAATAATAGAATATTGAGCTTAAAAAAAATGTCAAGATTTCAAAACTCTTTAATTAGACAATGTTTTAAGATGTTGAAAAATGCTACTAAAAAAAAAAGATTAGAAAGTAAAATTATGAACAAGACTGTATATCTGATATAAAAAATCCATAAATTAGCAGTTTTCTGTATTTTGTGCTTCATGTTTGTATTTATTTATGCTTTTGAATATTATTGAATTGCGTCTTCCAACAACTTTAAACTCTGAAAAGGTGGAAAAAAGTGACTTTTATAAATATTTGTAATAGTTTAAAGTGGTATATTGTCTGGGTTGGTGTTGAACATTATGCTACAAAAACCTTGTAGTAAACTGCCAGCAGATTTTATGTTATTTTACAGACTTATTACTCTATATATTATTTCTTATTCCAAGAGATGGGTTGCGGCTGGAACAGCATCCGTTGCGTAAAAACTTGCTGGATAAGTTGGCGGTTCATTCCGCTGTGGCGACCCCAGATTAGTAAAAGGACTAAGCCGAAAAGAAAATGAATTAATGAATATATTTCTTATACATTATATTATTTCATAAAATAGTTGATTTAAAACTTTAAAAGTCGGCAAAGAAGAGATCAACATCCCATTATACTATTCATAACCGTAAAAAAATGAAAAAGGACTTGTGAATCACAAAATACAGAAACTGTTAGTTAACATATAGTTTATATATACATCTGAAATAAACTTTTAAGATTAATTTTTGTGGATATTTTATATATTTTTCCCCATGCAATTATGTTCTGCCTTTTTTATATGCCAAATAAAATAATGCCGAAATTAGAAAACTGCAGCACTGAATGTTTGTTTCTTGTTGAGATATAGAAACAAACTGTCCAAAATACAACAGAATATTCATGCAAGAGATGTCAAAATATATGCATTCTATTTCCTTCAGCTTAGTCTCTTTATTCATCAGGGATTGCCACAGTGGAATGAACTGCCAACTTATCCAGCATATGTTTTACACAGCGGATACCCTTCCAGCTGCAACCCAGTACTGGGAAACATCCGTACACACTCATACACTATTCAATTCAATTATAGTGCATGTCTTTGGACTGTGGGGGAAACTAGAGCACTGGTAAACCCACACACACATGGGGAGAACATGCAAACTCCACACAGAAATGCCAACTGAACCAGCCGAGACTGGAATCAGCGACCTTCTTGCTGTGAGGCGACAGTGCTAACCACTGAGCCACCATGCCACCCTGTAAAAATATTTGTTCTTGTTATGTTTCTTTTTTTTCCATAATATTTTTATTTTTTGTTTTCAGTTTGTACACATTGAAATACAACATTTTACAATTTTTCACAACAATAACCTTGTTGCATTTACAATATATATATATATATATATATATATATATATATATATATATATATATATATATATATATATATATATATATATATATATATATATATATATATATATATATATATATATAATAGGGGTGTCACGATCCTCCAAATCCTCGATTCGATTACATTTTCGATTCTAAAGTCACGATTCGATTTTCGATTATGAATAATTAATTAATTAATTAATTAATGACCAATTAATTATTTTTAGCCTACCGTTTAAACTACCTGACCTGCATGGTCTTTGTTTTACCCATAAACAAATCATACAGTAAATGAATAAAGGTAAGATACACACATAATTACCACCTGTCAATCACTTTTTCTGCGGGACTCGTGAATAGGCAGTGATCTGTGTCGTTATAATGGCGTCGGTAAAAAAGACGCACAACCAACAGGAACCAGCCAACAGTATCTGAGGTGTTCGCTAAAATGACTAAGTACTTGTGTGAAAGTAAAAGATGGAAGCAGTCGACTGACCCGCTGACTGCCTTGACCCGCTGTCTCGAGCGCATGACAATGTGTGCGTGTCTGTGTGTGTGTGGTCACGTGATGTGCGTTTTCAGCGGTAGTGAGGAAGGAGGGCTGCTCAGAAATGCTACACGCCAGTGTGGATGTCGATTGTTGTCGTTCTAAAATGCCATTTGATATATTAGTGTAAACAGGGCCTGAGTGTGTATTTTGCGCGAGCGTATTTGCAACAGGTGCGGGGCGGAGGATCGCGACACTCCCATCGTCTATCATCCCAACCGTAATACGCACATAGAAGAGCTTGCAAACTGTGTTTTTTTTTGTCGACAACACGAACGTTGTCGACATAACTAACTGGAAATCCAAAATACTGCCACACCGGCGACTTCATTGAAAGAGGAGAGGATTTAAGCTCTGTCGACGGGTCTCCTGCGTCTGCAGTTCAACAAGCACTTCAACAAGCATGTTTTTTTCCCGCTTGGCAAGCCAAGCTAACGTGACTTGGGGGCGTGGCAGCATCGACGATTCTATTTTTTGATCCGATAATTGAAGTTAAGCATAAATTTCGATCGATTTCGATTACAAATCGAAATTGTGACACTCTTAATATATAATAAAAACTAAAAGCAAACAAACGAACAACAAAACAATTAATAAATAAATAAAAAAAAATAAAAGTAAAGTTACGTGTTTCTAACGTGGTGCACTGAAACGTTGCTTTATGTGCTGAAATATGAGTAAATAAATATGCATTTATATTTAGCTGAATTTTTACATATTAGATTAGCAAAGAGACAGGTCTTATGCATTTTTTGGAGATTAATTTTCAGAGAATGTGCACAGGAGCACTGCAAAAACCAAACGCCAGAAACAAAAGGTTTTTATGCGCACGTGTGTTTGATGAATGTGCATATTTAGTCAGAATTATTTGCCCCTCTGTATATTTATATCCTCCCCAATTTCTGTTTAACGGAGAGATGTCTTTCAACACATTTCTAAACATAACAGTTTTATTAACTCGTTTCTAATAACTGCTTTGTTTTGTCTTTGCCATGATGACAGTAAATCCTTTTTGACTAGATATTTTTTTTAGATACTAATATTCAGCTTAAAGTGGCATTTAAAGGCTTAACTAGGTTAATTAGGCAAGTCATTGTATAACGATGCTTGTTCAGTAGACAATTGAAAATAATATTGACCTTAAAACGATTTTCTCTAGAAGAAAAACATTATAGGAAATACTGTGAAAAATTCCTGAATCTGTTAAACATCATTTGGGAAAAATTTGGAAAAGTAATTCACAAGAGGGCGAATAATTATAATTTCCACTGTAAGCAAGAAGAGCGAGTGTGAATTGAAATACTGTGTGTGTGTGTGTGTGTTTAAGGCACGGCTCTGGACTGCATTCGCTGTGTCCCAAAGAAAGCCGGAGGTGCCTGTGAGGTCACTTCTGAAACATGCCCGCCGGAGAAAAGCGCCTGTGCTGCTGCCAAATTCAGCAGAAGCCCGTGTGAGTTTTCATCATTCAAAGAAGTCACCCAAAAATGAGTGCTTCAGGCAATGCAAGTGACCTAAAGTTAATCTGAAACACAATTAAATGCTTGTTTCTGATTTGCTTTGAAACAGATGGTCACTTCCAGAAGTGCATGGCCATGTCGGACTGTGAGATGCAGAAGCGCAACTCTTACATCAACATCAAGTGCTGCCAGAAGGACTTCTGCAACACCTTCGACTGATCTGCAGATGATCTTTTTGAACATCATCTCCTAATATAATAGATTACATACTACTATATGCATGTTTTCAAACTTAAACCTAAAGAAATGACTATTTTTCACAGCCCAATCTCACAAAGAAACGTAACAATGTTATGTTTTGTCAGTTTAGTGGCTAATTCATAGGATTTTTATGATTTTTAAAAGGAGGCGTGGCAGCAAATCACACCCCTAAACTCAGCTGTTATTGGGGAATGATAAATTGCACTTAATAGTACGACTGAGATTGTAAACATTCACAAGTATGATGCAATACTGAATTAACATCTATTGTTGATCCTGGAACATCATAACGTTGATTTTTCCTGGTTGAAATAAACTTTCTATTTTCAAAGCAGCTGTGCTGTTGAAGTGATTTACTTTAAATGCATTCTTATTCACATAATCATGTTAAACATGTGATATACATACAGTTAAAACCAGAAGTTTACATACACTCTAAAAAAAGGAACATAACTATTTTTTTAAAATGTCTGATGGTAAATCATACTAAATGTTTACTATTTTAGGTCCGTTAGGATTACCTAAATGATTGACATTTGCTAAATGCCAGAATAAGGAGAGATTCTTTTGAGAATTTTTTATTAATTTCTAGACAGTCAAAAGTTTACATGCATTTTTGTGGTATTTTTGTAGCTTTGCTTTTAAACTGTGTAACTTTGGTCAGATGTTTTAGGTATCCTTCCACAAGCTTCTCACAATAGTTTGCTGGAATTTTGGCCCATTCCTCCGGACAGAATTGATGTAACTGAGTCAGATTTGTTGGTTGTCTTGCTCACACAAGCTTTTTCAACTCTGCCCACAAATTTTTTATAGGATTGAGATCAGGGCTTTGTGATGGCCACTCCAAAACATTCACTCTGTTGTCCTTAAAGCACATTTTTACTAATTTGGCAATATGCTTGGGGTCATGGTCTGTTTGGAAGACCCATTTGTGGCCAAGTTTTAATTTCCTGGCTGATGTCTTGAGATGTTGCTTCAGTATTTTTACATAATGTTCTTTCTTCATGATGCCATCTACTGTATGCTGTGAAGTGGACCAGTCCCTCCTGCAGCAAAACAGCCCCACAACATGATGCAGCCGCCCCCATACCTCACAGTTGGGATGGTGTTCCTTAGGCTTGTAAGCTTTCCCCTTTGTCCTCCAATTAATGTAACACTGGTCATTATGGCCAAACGGTTCAATCTTAGTTCCATCAGATCACAGGACATGTCTCCAAAAATTAGTCTTTTTCCCAGTGTAATTCAGCAAGTTGTAATCTGGCTTGTTTGTTGATTCTGGCTTGTTGATTTTCCCATGTTGTCACACAAGGAAGCAGTGTGTTTGAGATTTTCCTTAAATATTATTCTACAGCTGTGCCTCCAATTAACTTAAATGTTGTCAATTAGCCAATCAGAAACTTCCAAAACCTTGACATCATCATCTGAGCTTTTTCAGAGGCAGAATAATCTTATTGTGTGTAAACTTGACTTTCAAGAAAAGTTATGACAATTTCTCAAAATCTCTCTCGCATTATTCTGCTATTAAGCAGAACAGAAAAACATTTGAAAATCTGAACTTACCTCAAAGAGAAAAAAATTAGTCACATTAACATCTGACTTTTTAAAAAATGGTTATGTGCCTTTTTATACATTGTATGTAAACTACTGCTTTCAACTGTATATATATATATATATATATATATATATATAGATTATAAGATAATTTTTTTGTGCATTAAAAAATAAACAGTTTTGAAATGGAATAGAGAATAATTAAAATGAGCAAATCACAAACTGAAATATTCCATATTTTTAGTGCATAATGCATGACATTGGCAAAACAACAAATATTCAGAGTGAAAAATTAATTATGGAGACCCAAGCTACAATTTAGTATGAATTCATGTAATGCACGAAGGCTCGCTTATTATAATTTCTGCATTTACATTAGAGTACAAAACGTATGGATATAAACAAAGCTTTATAATTTCTTAAATCCTAGAACAAAGATAATTCAACTATATATTTGAGTGTGTTTTTGTGACTTTGGTAATTGGTAAATAAGTAAATAAATAAATAGCTCCTTCTCATACTTCAACCTCCACATTAAAGTTGCAGAAAGCGAAGCAGGTCAAGGTGCTCCAGGATTGGCCAGCCCAGTCACCAGAGCTTAACATTATTGAGCATGTCTGGGGTAAGATGAAGGAGGCATGGAAGGTAAATCCAAAGAATCTTCATGAACTCTGGGAGTCCTGCAAGAACGCTTTCTTTGCCATTCCAGATGACTTTATTTATCAGTGATTTGAGTCATCATTGCAGAGATGTATGGATGCAGTCCTCCAAGCTCATGGGAGTCAGACACAACATTATTTATTTTTTCACTGCAGCATGACTTTATATTCTATACTGTACATTATTTCTGTTAAGTGACGAGAGTTTTGTCTAAGCAAGTCAGACCTTCCCGTCCTAATTAAATAATTAATGATAAAGAGATGGTCATATGTTATTGTGGTAAAATAAGCGGAATCTTGAGGCCTTTGCCTTTCATATAAGCCACTTCTGATACCAAATGATCAACTAAAAGTCAAGTTATTATTTGTTGTTCCTAAAACTTGGAAACTTCTAAAAGTTTGGAACCACTTTAGGGTTAATAAATACATAATAAATTTCAGTTTTGGGTGAACTCTCTCTTTAACAACAGCATGAAATCATCATGGAGTAATTTTAAAAACATTCTGATAGTCTTCATCACACAGTCAGCTCTTTTAGACTCTAAAACATGTATGTATTTGCAAAGTGTGTGTGATATTTGATAAAGTTAGTTTGAACGTTGTTAAATATTAATGATCTTTAGTTTGACAGTCATATGTACAGTAGATCTAATGATCTAATGACTAATGGATGGTTTTTCAACTTTTCGGCTGGTTAAATCAGTTGGGCAGAACTAAGCTCAACACGCAGTACAGCCTTGTGCACACATGTACTTTGAACCCAAAATAAACAGATATAGATTCCCATTTACAGGAACATTACAACTTCAAATGTCCACATATTTCATCAGACTTCTTAAAGACGTGATATATATCAGTCACAGACCCAGTGTTTATCATGTTTCTCAATTTCAGTTTACACAATAATCAACTTTCCTGTCACATTCTCATATTCCACGGGGGTTACAAAACCAAAACATCAGTCATTTAGTTCACAAACAATTGGGAAATCTATTTTTCTACCTTTGCAATAATATTTTTATTCGAGTTTATATTTTTAAAGGTGTAATTATAGAACAAAGGATGAAATATTTAAAGAAAAAGATATTTAAAAATATTTTATATCTAAAAAAAAAAAAAAATTATAAATGTTTTTTTGGCACGGTGTCTCAATGATTAGCACTGTCACCTCACAGAAAGAAGTTCACTGATTCGAGTCCCGTCTGGGTTAGTTGGCATTTCTGTTTGGAGTTTGCATGTTCTCCCTGTGTTTGCGTGGGTTACCTCCAGGTGCTCCGGTTCCCCCAAAGCCCAAACACATGCGCTATAGGTAAATTGAATAAGCTAAATTGTCTGTAGTGTATGAGTGTGAATAAGAGTGTTTGGAAAAATCAAATCAATGAATAAATTTGTGCAGAAAAAAAAAACAATTCACTTTGCAAAAACACAAACTGACAACAAATTATGCAACTGAAATGCATCTGCTGTGTAAAACATTTGCCAGAATAGTTAGCGTTTCATTCCACTGTGGCGACTCCTGATAAATAAGAGACTATAAGCTGAAGGAAAATCAATGAATGATTTTTTGCCCAAAAAAACCCAATACCCTTTGCAAAAACACAAAATAATAACAAATTCTAAAATGCATCTACTGCGTAAAACATATGCCAGAGTAGTTGGCGGTTCATTCTGCTGTGGCGACCCCTGATAAATAAAGGACTAAGACATAGTAAAATCAATGAATGAATTTGTGCAGAAAAAAACCCAGTTCCCTTTGCAAAAACACAAAATAATAACAAATTCTAAAATGCATCTACTGCGTAAAACATTTGCCAGAGTAGTTGGTGGTTCATTCAGCTGTGGTGACCCCTGATAAATCTGGGACTAAGCCGGAGGAAAATGAATGAATGAATAAAACTAATATGGAAAACTCTCATTTAAAAAAAAAAAAAAAATATATATATATATATATATATATATATATATATATATATATATATATATATATATATATATATATATATATATATATTTCACTGACCAAAACGAATCAGCCATAATGTGATTCTGTGCTATGTGTTATGCAAAAATAAATGCTGTATTGAGTTTAAGATGAAATCCTAATGCTCTGTGTGTGTTTGTGTGTAGTCATGGGCTTCCGTAGGTGTGGCAGAATGACTGATTGTCTGATCTCCCAGAGTAACACTGCCATGAAGATCAAATGCTGCCAGTCTGATCTCTGCAATAACGTCATCATCATTTAGTTTGTCTTCTGTCTGATAATATTCACAATCATAGAGACGATCGAACAGGCTTCACTGTCTCTGTTATTTATAGTTTGTTCAACAATAAATATGGTTTCCTGTTATGTTTGATGTTAGTTTTCTTTCTTTGTGTATTTATGAAGAGAAGTTTGTTTATTAAGAGTTTGTTTGTGATCTATTAAGATATTCACTGTTTTCCACACTTTTTCCTGATCGTAATTCAATAACTAAATGTTTTATATTAAATCAATATAAATATATACAGTCAACATCATTATATTAATATGAATCAATTTATAAAAATCCTCAATATTCATCTGGATCATTTTTGGTCTCACTATACACACACCCACACTCACATTTACTGTATATGCATAATAAATAAATAAATAATGTACATTTATTATTATTTTATTATTATTATTATTATTATTAAACATATTTTAACATTTATAAAAAATATTTTACTTGCATTCATTTCTATTATTAGTATTATTATTATTGCTGCATTTGATAAGCAACTGAAATATTCACATTTAATGATTTACATTATAATATGATATAATATAATACAAAATAATATAAAAACAAGCATTCTAAAAAAATAGTAAAAGTAAAACATAAAACATTACAAAAATCCATATAAATCCTGCATTTTTTGATACAAAAAATGCTATTAGTAATCCACTAACACACTTCAACCCATAATTAAGTGATATATATATATATATATATATATATATATATATATATATATATATATATATATATATATATATATATATATATATATATATATATATATATATATATATATATATATATATAGTTTTATTTGCGTGACAAAACAATACTCGACATATGATATAACAATTTCAGACTCTGATATTTTCTCTTTCAGCAGTGTTCAAACTTTTAATTAATAACAATTAAATTAATTAATCAGTAGATTTAAAAGAGCAGTTCAATATTCAGACCACCGGGTGTCGCTCTTACCTTAAACCTAAAGAACTATTTACAGCATTTACACCGTCTAGTACTGTGCACACTATTCACCTTATTCTTCACCGACGAGCGAGCGCAGCCATTTGAATCTTTTTGGCTCGAGACTTCCGGTCTCATTCACTTCCATTCATTTTTAGACGTTAAAAACTGCTCATTTCGCTGCTTGATGTTGCAAACTGACATTTCCTTATTATATTATTCTACTTGGTCATTATAGTCATGCAAACATTTGTTTGTAGAGCAAGTAGTTTTACCGTTTTACAAAAAAATAAACAGTCATTTAATACCCTTCTACATTTGTTATTCGTAATTTCATAAACACACAACCACAATTCATACATTATTAAAGATAATCGTGTTTATATAAACACTAAAAGAGGACTTTTCCCTCAACCCCTGGGTTTGAATCATAGGTCTGAATGCAGACTCAGTGCAGCAGGTCTCTTGCCCTGTCTATTTTAACCATTAGCCCTGCTGGTAGTCTGGAGTATTTAGGGAAACACAACAGCACGTCGATGTGTCTAAATGTGAACGAACTCTTGATAAAAGACAACGTCCGCCATCCTCCAATTCTCCTACTGCTCTCCCGACAAAATGTTTGTGCTGCACACAAACAGCCTTGCTGTATCGGCCCTGACAACATCGTGGGGAAAAACAAGCAACAAATCCTGTGGATCATGGAAGCAAACACAAACGACCCTTCATGAACAGCTAAATACTGTGTGCCGTGGGTCCGTGGACGCGTTCTCACCCAGTCATCAATGTAGGATGTCACAGCTTGGCACTGGCAGGTCTGCCTTGCCTTTGGAAAGCACTAGCAGTCATGAATAATTAAGCAACAGGCTCTTCTCATAGGATAAGAAAACCCCACTATGAATAATAATGAAAAACCGACGCGACATCTTTGCACTTGCAGTTTTGCGCTACGTCGCTGATTTTGATCCCACCCCAAAAATCATTTTAAACCCGGAAGCTGAAATTAGCTGACAGAAGCTCTAAATTATCCAGTTTCCCCACAATTAAAGCTGACAAGAGCTAACATTTTCTTAACTGAGGCTTAACACACACAAATCTGTTAAAATCTCAAATTTAATGGAGCTAATAACTAATAAAGTCAATAAAGTTTTTTATTATTTATTATCATTGTGTTTTTTAACGCAATAACATCTTAAAGATATATATTTCTAAGTGTTGTCATAAGTTCATTGCATACAAAACATTTAATAATGAGACCTCATTTTATAAAGTAATAAATATTGTTCTTCAAAATATTTTGGCAATGTAATTAGTTTGCAATTTACTTAATTAGCGTACAATAATGCACAAAAATGTCACTTTTTGTTCTCCCCCAGCACTCGTGTTTACAAATCTTTTTTTTTTTTAATCCTGTTGACAAAATGGGGTCATCATTTTTGAAAGTATTGTTGTAATGGAAATAACACGTTGTCAATTTGTAACACTGAGTATTATAGACATAGGCTATATTCATTAAATTCATAATGGTCTGCATTCCTTAACCAATATTTCATATTAACTTTACGTTAGTTAAGGTTAGCTAAGCTAATTGCATAGCCTGTTAGTGAGCTAGCATCGTGTAAGAAAACAAAAACTTACATAATAAATTAAGATAACCGAGTGAGTTTTCTGGAATAAGATAAACTCTTGGTTCAATACATTTCAACAAATGAGATACGGCGTTTATGAAAGAATATTTATGTTACCGTCATGAGGTGAAAGGATTTGCTTCAAGCGGTGACGTCGTTGTCTGCTAATTGAAATTCCGGTAGTAAACAGCGTGTGGCGCACTTAGCATTTAGATTTGTTTCAGAACAAAAATCTTATTTGGATTAGTTTATAACATATTTAGGGCAAAAAATAGTGGACAGCATCGCTTTGTGGCAGCAGCACCACCATAATATATGCACCTAGTATAATTTCAAAGAAAGAACCGTCCAAATATGCTTATGGTCGCTTATGGGAGAACCAAGACCCCCCAGCACCCCATTTATTTGAACGTTGATTTTGAACAGCTCCTAAAACAATACTAATAAGGGAAAAAATAATAATAACAGTATTGAAAATGTCGTCAAATGTTACTAATCAATGGAAAACAACACTGAAAAAAATTATTCAGATATGATTCCTTGGATTTACTACATTTTTTTTTACGTTAAGTGGTTGTAAACAATTTGTTTGTGTTGAATTTAAAGAAACAAATTAAGTTGAACATTATTAAACTTAATTTGCTTGATTAAATTCAACACAAATAAATAGTTTGCAACAGTTCTGCATGCAACACTTTCAGTGAACCATAACACAATCAAGAATCAAAACTATTTACTTCAACCTGCTTATTTATTTACACCACTATGTAGATTTTTTATATTTATTGTTAATTTTTGACTTGATTGCTTAATGTATTACTATGGCATGTGAAATGCAACTTATTTATTATGCTGCTATGCCAGTTGCTTATCTATACACAGACACTGTATATTATGCTGGATTAATTATGGTTATTTTTTGTGTTTGGTAAAACATTAAACATTAAATGCATGTCTATTTCACACAACCACTTCACACAATTACAATGCAATAGGATAAACAATGTATATTTTGTTGGAAAAGACCAGAGTGGCAGAAAAAAATATCACACAACACATAATGATCTGAAACAAGCCGTTGTGTTTAGTCTTTTCTGTGTTTCTGGAAGCTCATAAAGAGCAAACACAGCTGTGCATCTACTCAGTTCTTCTCAGCTCCACTTCAGTCAAGGTAAGTTTGCATGAGCTACTTGTTATTTTGAACAAAACTCAATCGTTTGTGCAGTTTAACTTTGCACTTTTAAAAGGAAGAGCTGGTAGAGAATATAAAATGAGTTTTACATTCTGACAAGCACAATTCTGTATTAGCCTAAATATAACAATATAGCACAATAACATATATCTGAAGAAAAATTCTGAGAAAACCGTTTGGCTGCAGGTCATGTTCGTTTTATAAGAGCTATATTCTCCTGAAAATTTTAATTATGCAGTACACTAAAAACGATTTACAGTACAGTTATTCAATTCAATTCAGCTTTATTTGTATAGCGCTTTTACAATGTAGATTGTGTCAAAGCAGCTTCACATAAATGGTCATAGTAACTGGAACAGTGTGGTTCAGTAACTGGAACAGTGTGGTTCAGGTTTTAGTGTTTAAGTTCAGTTCAGTTCAGTTTAGCTCAGTTCAGTGTGATTTAATCATTACTGAGAGTTCAAACACTGAAGAGCCAATTCATCGATGCGTAGCTCTATCAATCCTGAACCATGCGAGGCAGTGGCGATAGCGGAGAGGGAAAAAAAACTTCACCTGATGGGAGTGAAGAAAAAAAAAAAAACATTCCTTTTTGGCGACACAGTGGCTCAGTAAGTAGTGCTGTCACCTTACAGCAAAAAGGTTGCTGGTTTGAGCCTCAGCTGGGTCAGTTGGCATTTCTGTGTGGAGTTTGCATGTTCTTCCTGCGTTTGCGTGGGTTTCCTCTGGGTGCTCCGTTTTCCCCACAGCTCAAAGACATGTGGCACAGGTGAATTAGGTAGGCTAAATTGTCCGTAGTGTATGAGTGCATATGAATGTTTCCCAGAGATGGATTGCAGCTGGAAGGGCATCGGCTGCTTAAAACATATGCTGGATAAGTTGGCGGTTCATTCCACTGTGGCGACCCCAGATTAATAAGGGGACTAAGCTGAAAAGAAAATGAATTCAGCATATGCATATGTATATAGCGGATGCCCTTTCAGCCACAACCCATCACTGGGAAACACCCATACACTCTCATTCACACACATTACAGCCAATTTAGCCATCCAATTCACCTGTACTGCATGTTTTTGGACTGTGGAGGAAACCAGAGCACCGTGAGGAATGCCATGCCAACACGGGGAGAACATGCAAACTCCACACAGAAACGCCAATTGACCCAGCCGGCGCTCGAACCAGTGACCTTATTGCTGTGAGGCGATTGTGCTACCCACTGCACCACCCTGATGCCCACAAAAATACTACTACTAATAATAATAGTAATAATAATAACACTATTGTTATTATTATTATTTATTATTATTATTATTAATAGCAACATATAACTGAAATAACATATTTAATTGGACCTAAAATGTTCAAAATAAATGCAATCATACCAATTTTCATAATGTTTTTTTTTAACAAACAAAAGGATAATAGTAACATTTAACAGTTTAAAACAACAAATATTTCACAATTTGGGGTGTTCCAGCCATGACATAATATTCTTGTAATGTTCATTCATTTTCTTGTCGGCTTAGTCCCTTTATTAATCTGGGGTCGCCACAGCGGAATGAACCGCCAACTTATACAGCAAGTTTTTACGCAGCGGATGCCCTTCCAGCCACACATCCACACACACACACAAATCTACGGACAATTTAGCCAACCGAATTCACCTGTCTTTGGACTGTGGGGGAATCCGGAGTACCCGGAGGAAACCCACGGGAACGCAGGGAGAACATGCAAACTCCACACAGAAACGCCAACTGAGCCGAGGATCGAACCAGCGACCTTCTTGCTGTAAGGTGAACGTGCTAGCCACTGCGCCACTGCGTCGCCCCTTGTAATATGTATAATGTCTATATGTATTATTTACACTTACACCTTGATAATCAGGTAAAAATAAGGTTGAATGTTGTGTGAATATACGCTTTGTTTGAACACTCATTAAACTGGCCTGTTCTGCAGATGACATTTTTCTCAGATTAATCACTAAAGTCATGTGGTGAGCAAACAGTTGAGCAAAGCCTCAGTTTGACATCATCATCATAACACAAGCTCATTAATCATTTCATTACATTACTCTTTCAAAAAGACGGCAAGACCAAAGCTCCAATAAAAATTACCAATGTATTAAATCAAAAAGCTGCCGCAAAGCGTGTAACGTTTCAAGCACACCGTCTCTTTCTTTACACTTTTGTCTCTTTTTTTACACTTTTCTTACACATTTGGGTGTATGCCCATAAACATTAAAATGCGCTATATAAATATACATTACATTATATTATCTTAAAACAAAACAATAGAAAAAAGCATGGAGTAAACAAAAACAAAGACTGTGTATTTATGCACCATCAAATGTGGTTATAATGGAAGTCAATGCGGCAAAAGCAGCCACCAACAGTAAATTAAGGAGAGAAACTGAAAATCTAACAATGCATCAAAGACAATGTTGTTACTAATCGTTCACATGTACAAGACTGTGATAAAAGGGAAAAAAATCCAGCCCACAAATACTTTTTATATTTTGAATATACGTCATTTTGTGTGCATTTTTTTTTATCAAATCAGTGACATTACTTGTGAATTTGACAATTAAAGACTTAAAATCCTGTAATTTTCTAAACAATTTAATGGTTTTGATCAGGATTGAGGTTGATTAACAGATGTAGGGGCACACCTTTCGTGCAAATCCTTATGTACCACCTTTTACAGCTTCTATTCCAACAACCAGTGTTTGCAAAAACGAGAGTAAGACCGAATCTCCTTTTAAAAAAGGTTTACTGAAGAAATGCAGGTAAAAAGTTACAATAGACTCGACGAGCTCGGTCAAAAAACTGTGTTGCTTCCAACATCCACGTATGAACTAATGGCCTCATGACGTATTACTGTCGGAAGCCAAAATACCAAATTAAAGGTTTTTAAATTATATCAATTACTAAATTATGCATTTTAGATAATACAATCACAGTGAATTCATGTTATATTTAAATATGAATTTTGATCATGTTTTAACCTTTTTAACTAAATTATTATCACAAATGAATTATGCATAACTGGTTCTTACAACAGATTTGTACAAAAACATTTGAAAAAAAAAAATTTAGTGGATGTTTTCATCCCAAACATAACAACAGGGTAATACATTTGAAGAGTGCACAAGGGTTAAATGACTTTTTAAAAAATGTACCTGTTCAGTTTGGCTTATTAATATTATAATATGTTTGTCGATTGCTTTATTTCTAAATGCATTCTGTGCTTTCTCTTGGTTTTATTTCTCTGGGTTTTTTTTTTATAAATGTTCTCTATGTTTTACTAACTATTATTCTGTACAGCACTTTGGTCAGCCGTGTGGCTGTTTTAAAATGTGCTTTATAAATAAATGAACTTGAACTATTGACCTCGCAGGAAGCCGATTTCCACATTTAAGATTACAAGATAAGCTCTAAACAAAATGATTTGACAAAAAAGGAATGACAGCAAATGTTTTTATAAATTACATAAGTTTTATTTGTTATACAATGTTTAACATATTTTTGTCAATCTGATTGATCAGTTCAGATGACTGGAAAAGTTCAATTGATTGTGCTAAATGTGAACTAAATATAACAGAATATTTTTAGTCAATTTGACATTTTTTTTTTTTTTTGCAAGAAACATCTCATAAATGCATTTGGGACACATCATCAATTCAATTCAATTCAGCTTTATTTGTATAGCGCTTTTACAATGTAGATTGTGTCAAAGCAGCTTCACATAAATGGTCATAGTAACTGGATCAGTGTAGTTCAGTTTTTAGTGTTTAAGTTCAGTTCAGTTTAGCTCAGTTCAGTGTGGTTTGAAATCATTACTGAGAGTCCAAACACTGAAGAGCAAATTCATCGATGCAAAGCTCTACAGGTCCTGAACCATGCAAGCCAGTGACGACAGCGGAGAGGGAAAAAAACCTTCACTGATAAGAGAGTGAAAAAACCTTGAGAGAAACCAGATTCAGTTGGACACGACCATTTTAATTTCTCCGCTGGCCAAAAGTCTTGTGCAGAGCTGCAGTCTCAGCAGTGGACTGGAAGCTGGCCTCAGCCCAGGATACATCATCAGTGATGTATCCTGGGATCATTGGGTGTTTCGGGCCTCTCAACATCATACACTCTCACCCAGGTGACCCAGCCGGGGTTGATCAAGTCCTGACTTGTGTCCCAACAGCAGTCCATGGATCTGCCCTCTTAATCCACAGCCACCTTGTGGCCTTCTCTACTTGCAGATCGAATGGCCCTTTTCTTTGCCACGCCTGTAATGCCAAATCAATTTATTTGACAAAAAAGTTCAGTTGATTGTGATAAATGTGATCTAAATCATTTAAAAAAAAACAAGATTTCTTTACAGTGTAACAAATATGGAATATAAATGAACATAATTTGAATAAAAATATTATTTATTTCATATAATAAAGTCTATGGTATCCAAAACAGTGTTATTACCAGTATTCCTTATTATTTTTTATATACAAAGTTTAACAATATTTTTTGCGAATTTAAATTATGTAAAGGGCGACACGTTGGCTCAGTGGTTTGTACTGTCGCCTCACAGCAAGAAGTTTGCTGGTTCGAGTCTGGGTCAGTTGGCATTTCTGTGAGGAGTTTGCATGTTCTCCCTGTGTAGGTGTGGGTTTCCTCTGGGTGCTCCGGTTTCCCCTACAATCCAATCGCATTGCGCGATAGGTGAATTAAATTAACTAAATGGATTGTAGTGTATGTGTGTGTGTGTGTGTGTGTGAATGTGAGAGTGTATATGTGTTTCCCTGTACAGGGTTGTAGCTGGAAGGGCATCCGCGGTGTAAAACATATGCTGGAATAGTTGGCGGTTCATTCAGCTGTGGCGACCCCTGATGAATAAAGGGACTAAGCCGAATGAATGAATGATTACAAAGTACACGCAATGTTTGTTGACATTTTTCTCTCTTTGCTCAACAGAATGATGAAGGTTCTGCTGTTGGCTCTTGTTCTCGCTCTTGTGTTTGCTGATGGTGGGTTTGCATGTTGAAAGCCAAACTGCAGGTTTCAGTAATACAGCAAACAAGCCTTATCAGAAGACTCTGTTTGTGCAAAACAATAAACTGATGTAAAATATTATTTGCAATGATTCAAAATCAGATAACTGTTGCAGGCTCTGCCCTGAAATGCTACAACTGCGTCCCGAATGTCCCCGGAGGATCCTGTGTGACCAAAGAGGAGACGTGTGGATATAAGAAAGACACTTGTGTGTCTGCCAGATTCACCAGTCCTCCCTGTGAGTTTCATATTAATGACTCTGCAAGGTGTTTGCTTTGTACACAGGGCCGGAGTGGGGCTCCTTTTTAGCTCTGGAGTTTCAAGCCTTAAACCTGCGGGCTGCATTTTGCTCACGGGGCTGCGAAAAAATAAATAAAAAGAGCGAAGCTGCGGCAAAATAATGAATAAAAAGAGTGAGGCTATGGTCAAATTAACAAATACATGAAAAAAGTGCAACTGCACAGTGTGCAAGCAGCTAGGGACACCGGCCCTTGCGGCCAAAAAACGTACCGGCCCACCGGGAATTCTCCCAGTTCTCCCCAAAAGCCAATCCAGGCCTGGGTGTACATATGACATTTTCTGCACATCTAAAGATATAAATCCAGTTTGCCCCTCAGTCCAAAGACATGCGGAACAGGTGAATTGGAATTAACTAAAACTGGCAGTAGTGTATGAGTGTGTGTGTGTGTGTGTGTGTGTGTGTGTGTGTGTGTGTGTGAATGTGAGAGTGTATGTATGTTTCCCAGTATAGGTGGAAGGGCTTCCACTCCGTTAAACATATATGCTGGAATAGTTGGCGGTTTATTCCGCTGTGGTGACCGCTGATAATCACGGTCTACGCCAAATGAAAATGAATGAACATGACTTTGTTTCAGATTTGAAGACATTGGCACTGCACGACCAACATTACACCTGATACAAACATTCATGGTTTCAGTAATTTCACTTGTATGTACCGTAAAAAGAAGTTGCCAAAAATAAGTTGAATCAAATTAACTATATCATGTCAACTTATTAAACACCTATTAAACACACAGATTCCTTTGTATAATTAGCACCTCTTGTGTGTATTGCCTCCTCTTGTTGAATTGCTGAGTGCCCCTACTAAAAAAAAACAGCTTTAACCAGCTGGTGGGCTGATTTTAGCTGGCCATTCAGGCTGGTTTTAGAGGGGTTCTGGCCCCTTTCAGGCTGGTTTCCAGCCATTTCCAGCCTGGTCTTAGCTGGTTCGGTACACTTGAGTAGTTACAGGAGTCCAGTCATGATGAGGGGTTATAAAATTGCAATATATAAAGTTGAGCCACGGTCAGTTAAAAACATTTCAAAACAGTTTTGATGTAACACGCTCACAACAGTAGATTGTTGCGATATTTCTATCTTCCCTTTATTCACGATTAGAGTGAGGATGAAGTGATTTAAAGGAACAGTTCACCAAAAAATGGAAATCTATTAATTTACTCACACTTGAGTGGCTACAAACCTTTATGTTTCTTTATTATGTTAAACACAAAAGATGTTATTTTGAAGAATGTTAGGAACAGGTAACTATTGACTTCTATAGAAGAAAAAAACTAATGGAAGTCAATGGTTACCGGTTACCAGCATTTTGCAAAATATCTTGATTTTTATTTATTTTTTTATTTGATTTATTTATTTTTAAACAAAAATATCATACATAAAATATCATTAACAAAAATAAAAACATTTCAACATGGTCAAAAATGGAGCGGGATGAAGCAAAAGCTTATTATTCTCCCACCCCATTACCACATACATCAGTCGCTTATTACTTAAACTTATTTATTCTTGTACCTATCTCTTCTTTTTACATGACACATATTTGATCCTTTTGGCATCTTTGACAAATAATTAGTTTGATTCCATTTGTACCTTTTCATTTTTTAACATAGAGCCAAAGAAAAAAAAGAGAAAAAAAATACATAGTACTTCAAAATAGAAAAAGGAAACAACAACAACAACAACAACAACAACATAGTACAGCAAATAGCCATTAATTAAATTTTCATCATACCTTTCTCCTTTTATCCTTTTCAATCACCTTCATCATTATATTCCTTTATTAATATATATTTATACAGTTTTTTAAATTGATTAATATCCTGACGTTGTTTTAGAGTCTGATCTAGACTGTTCCATAGTTTTACACCACGTACAGACATACACAAACTTTTTAAAGTTGTTCTTGTTTTCAACCTCCTAAAATGTAGTTCTTCTCTCAGGTTATATCCCCCTTGTAGTTCTTCAAAAAACTTTTGTAGACATTTCAGAAGTAGTTTATTCCTAGCTTTAAACATAAATTGTGCTGTTTTAAACTTAACCAACTCATTGAACTTAAGTATCTTTAATTTAAATAATAAAGGATTTGTATGCACTAAATACCCGACATGTTCTATTAGTCGAATTACTTTTTTCTGCTTTGTACATATGGAGCGTAAATTAGATTTATATGTATTCCCCCAAATTTCAACACAATAACTCATGTATGGCAACATAGGTGTGTTATATAATATATACATTGATTTATTGTCCAGGATAAATCTTGCTTTACACACTATTGCTACAGTTTTCACAAATTTTGATATCACATTATTTATTTGCGGTTTCCAACTAATTTTATGATCCAATATAACACCAAGAAATTGCATACACTCTTTCTATAACTTCATTATCAATTTGTAAATCTATATTATAACTACTTTTTAATTTCCCAAATAACATAAGCAGAAAGAATGAAACTCACACCAGTTCAGTACAAGTGAACGGTATGTAAATAATGACCTTTATTGCTAAAACTGTGTAAATCTGTTCAAAAGAAACATTTTGAATCAGCATCATGCAATTCTTGCTTGAAATACACCCTAAGGATTTACACAAATACAAAGAGTTAGTGAGGTATTTGTTCTTTGAAATGCATTTATATAAACAAGTGCACTAATTCACTGTAATTTCCTTTGACTTTCCTTTAGTTGGCTACTTCCGGAGGTGCATTAGCATGGCGGATTGCATGATTCTTCAGTCCAGTACCTCGATTAAGGCCAAGTGCTGTCAGACTGACCTGTGCAATACACCCATCATTTAAAATAAAATACAAAAATTATGCAAACTGGTGGAATTTAAAGGAAATGTTCACCCAAAAACTAAAAATTCTGTCATCATTTACTCACCCTTCACTTATTCCAAACTAGTTTGAGTTTTGTTTTAATGTTGAACAGAAATGAAGAAATTTTGAAGAATGTTGGAAAGTGGTAGCTATTGACTTCTATGGCATTTGTTTTTCCTATATGGATGTCATTGGCTGTGTTTTATTCATCAGAATATCTTGTTTTGTCTTCAAAAGAAGGTGTGCATAAATCAACCCAGGCTCATTCCGATTACGTACCCCTATATACATTTCTGGAGATCACCAAATACGTCCCCGGAGGTACATGTTTTGCAGTTTTTGTTTTCGCGAATCCACCAGAGGCCGCTGTGTACACTTTTTGAGATCTCAAATTTCTCTTGCGAGTGCCATTCGCACCTGCTGTTCTCGCGTAAATCCACCAGAGGCCGCTGTCGACTGACTGACTGACCAACCAACCGATACACCCACTCACCCCCTTTCCTAAACCCAACTGATAGTGTTTTATAAAAGCACAAATTGACCAGCGCCTACCCACTTTACTAAACTCAACCAAGTGTTTTAAAAGCAATCCAGAAAAAGAAAAAAAAAACATTTTCACCATGTTTTCAGATTTTACCACATTCTCACCCTGCTATTTTCTCGTTTATTTTATTTTTTGGCTTTCATTTTCTTTCATTTTCATTTTGTTTGCTGGACTCGAACCCCACTGTCACTGTCCTCTATGCATCTCAAGTACGCTGACGTTCATTGCGAGCCACAGAGCAAACTGTTAACAGAGGGAAAGCCGTCCATAAGGAGGTAAGCGGTCAGCTTTTAAGCCTACAAAGGAACAGCACCATTCTGTCCTGTAGCGTCCATTCTAAAGACAAAATTCAGCCATACGTACTTCTGGCTTCATAATTTGCTCCTCCAGAAATGTATATAGGGCTATGTTGTCAGAATGAGCCTATATTGGCATAGATGATTGTTAAATAAATTCGAATGAGGTTGAACTGATTTTGTGGCCAAATTTCACCACACAAATAAACAGGTTGCATGAATAAAGTGTTGCTTGATTTTGTAAAGGATGTGATTTTGTCATCGCCAATGTTGTTTTTGAGTTTCATCATCTGCGTCTGTTTGTTCGTTTGTAGTATAATGAACAAATCATAGATGAAATTTCACTTAATACTGTTATCAGTTTATACAAACAGCAGATTAAAATATGATAACAGAGAAAAGAGTCTCTCATAGCAGAATTGGAAAAACCCAGAACAGAACACAACAATAAGGTTGCACAACCACACGGACCAGAGTAAACCAACAAAAGCGACACTTATATCCTGAACTTCAAGCCAAGAACACACACACACACACACACACACACACACACACACACACACACACACACACACACACACACACACACACACACACACACACACACACACACACACACACACATGTAACAATGTGTGTCATGGTCTGGTTAATTCCAGATTCTTTGGCATAAATTCAATATGGAATTTCCACACATCAAAGACTCCCAGAAATGAGGCAACATTACAGTATATAAAGCACAAACACAGGAGTCTGAGTATTGACTTCAGATCTGCTTCACAGTCAAGGTAAGTTTACACATTATTATGAGACTTAAATCTGTATTTAGTGAAATTGAACACTTTTATTTTTATAATATTCTTATTGACTATAGAGTAATATTGTTCTTCACTTGGTTTAAATCTTCCGATGACGCTGCCGTACTAAGTTTACTATATGACAATATTAGTGTTATGTACAAGTCAGAAATTAGTCAGTTTGTTAATTGAGGTGCTAAAAATAAGCTAAAAGCAAATACTAAAAAAAACAGAAGAGATGGTTTTTGACCCAAAATGCATAGGTGATCATCTTCAAGTGGTTGTGCACGACCATCCTTAGTCAGAGCCATTACTCAATCAGATACCTATAAATACTTGGGCACTTACATTGACAGTTCTTTCACATAGAGAGGGTTTGCTCTTGTTCACACCAGAGATTTTATTTCAGTCACACTTTATTTTGATGGTCTGTGTGTTGAATGAAGTTTTTTTTTGATTTTTTTTTTTTACAGCACTTCAAGTTAAGCCATTTTAAGAAAAGAAAAACAGTTATATAGATATTATATATATATATATATATATATATATATATATATATATATATATATATATATATATATATACACAGTAGGGTTTGGCAACCTACTGTATCTGTACAGTGTAAATCTAAGTTGATGCATCTCCTAAAGATAGGATGGAAAATTGTTGGGCATGATGAATATTTTAATCTTCAAGTTTTTATGAGAATTGTGTCCTCAATCAAGTGGAAAAGATTCTGAATGATCCAACTCATTTTTTATTTTAGACACTATGAACTGCTTCCTTCTGGTAGGAGATATATAGTCCCTAAGTGTAGGTTAAACCGATATAAGTATTCCTTTGAACCAGTTTCAGTGGGTTTACTTAACAAGAGTATATCTTTATTAGCCGTATAATTATTATAACTACTGGACTTTGTATTGTTTTTATTGTTATTTTTATTGAATGTCTGCAGCAATATGGTGATGCCCATAACAGATTTCCTGTCAAGGACAATAAAGTTTTACTACTACTACCATATATTTGTATGGTGCATCCGGAAAGTATTCATAGCACTTCACTTTTACACATTTTATTTTATGTTACAGCCTTATTCAAGAATGGATTAAATTCATCTATTTCCTCAACATTCTACACACAATACCCCATACAGACAATGTGAGAAAAGAGTTTTTGAAATTGTTGCAAATTTAATAAAAAAAAACAAAAAAACTGAAAATCACATGTACAGAAGTATTCACAGCTGTTACTCAATACTTTGTTGATGCACCTTTGGCAGTGATTAAAGCCTTAAGTCTTTTTAAATATGATGCCACAAGCTCGGCACACCTGTCTTTGGGAATTCCAGCCCATTCCTCTTTGCAGTACCTCTCAAGCTCTATCAGGTTGGATGGGAAGTGACAGTGTACAGCCATTTTGAGATCTCCCCAGAGATGTTCAATTAGGATTTAGGTCTAGGCTCTGGCTGGGCCAATCAAGGACATTCACCGAGTTGTTGTGAAGCCACTTCATTGATATTTTGGCGGATGATGGTCGCTGACAAGGAAGTGCAGATCCAAATGCAGGATTATTGGGAGAATGGTCAGGCAAGCAACGGTCAATATAGGGGTAAACAGATGTATGCAGGCAAATACAGAGTCGTACTTAAATACACAGGTGATAGGTCAGTACAGGTAGGAAGCAATCAACACAAACAAACAAACAAACAAGCAAGGCGAGGATCAAAACCAGCAAGGCATGTTTTAAACTATTGATCCGCCACATTAAAGACAAACAAAGTTACTAATTGTTTACATTGCCTAATGAATTTAAGGGATTTTACAAGACAAGACTTTGTTTCTTATTGAAAGCAACGAAAATCGATACGAAATTCAAGCCCCGCCCATTTGGAAACAATTGAACCCCCCTGGCCCCGCCCACAAACACTGTAGCAGAACCCCCGGTTGAATCATGTGGCATAGACGCTGTGCTCTGAAGTGTGAGGGAAATTTAGTGTTATTTTCTTTACCCAAAGATAAGGCTATGAAGAGTCAGTGTTGAAGTTTATTTTAGCAAAAATACCTCAGCATTATAGCCCTGCCTTGTGCTGTTACCATCATTTTTCTGATGAGTGCTTCAGCAATCTACATGCTTATAACGGGGGATTCGTCGGGTTAAAGGAAGGATCAGAAAAGGCTATTGATGTATGGAACTTTGTCAGAGCTTGACAGGAACAGTTCATAGATCAGTTTATTTCCCCATTTTACAAATGTAAATAACTTAAGTGTGATTAAAATATGTATTTAATTGTGTTTTGTTACTTGTAACCTCTTGCACTGTATCAGGTTAACTCTTTATATTCTCATATCGCGTCTTAAACCACGTTGAAAATGAGACGCGTGCTGCTTTGTTTAAGGATTTAAATGCGTTTGTGAGCTCGAGATCTACTGCCGTTTGTCGTGGCTATGGCCACCGTCAGCTGTTCCTACACACTTGCGGCGGTCAAGTTTCAAAATAGTTCAGCTTTTGCCACTGTGTGGAGTAATACTGAATGTGTGTCACTGTTTTTACTTATTGTTTATAATGGAGTAATTTGCTGGTGTTTAACTGCATTGCTTTAATGCACTCCTGCATTGGGCTCACACATACACTCTGCTCTCTGACTACTTCAAAACTGTTGATGAGCTGTGCTGGGTGTTTCTCTCTGTCTCATGCTGAGCGCAGTCGACCAATCACAACAGACCGGGTCATCAGACCAAACAGTGCAGATTAGCATCTCGCTAAGGAGGAGTTTGGGAACAAATGAATCACTGAACAAATAATATGGGAGTTGTTAGGATAATTAGGTAAAAAAATAAATGCTCATTATAAGACAATGAAAGTGTTTTCTGACCTTAAATGCATATCAAACCGTTGTTGGAGACCCCAAAACCAAAATATGACCTTTTTAATGCATAATAGTGTTTGATGGAAAGCCTGAATTAAACTATAAGCAAATATATCACTCAATAAAATGTAGACATCTGACATATTCATAAACACTATGACTGATCAGGTCTATTTTGGATTTTCCTCAACAGAATGATGAAGGTTCTGCTGCTGGCTCTTGTTCTCGCACTGGTGTTTGCGAATGGTAAGTTAAAGTCAAGCTGATTTACTTTTACAGAACAGTCACTATGAAAAATCAGTTTAACCTGCTGCATCAATGATAACCCAAATTAAATTTTACTGCTATAATAATAACTGCTTTATATCTGCAACAGGCTCCTCCTTGATATGTAACAGATGTGTCCCCTCCAGACCTGGAGGAAGTTGTGTGACCACTAAAGAAACCTGTGGCTATAAACAAGACACGTGTGTATCTGCCAGGTTCACCATACAACCCTGTGAGTATGTGCTTTTATTGTGAAGAAAAATGCAGAGAATTCTCCTCAGGTGTTTGCATTTAAATGTTAATAACCAAACACCTCTTTGTAAAAGTTCACATTGGCGTTGCGGATGAGGTGTAATGCGGAAAATATGATTACAATGTTTTCCAGCTGGTTTGATGTTAATTAACAGTCATTCAAACATCTTTTCGAAGCCTCTCCACTTAACAGTCGGTCTTGGCGTCCACCATCTTTGTAGTTTGTTTACACTTTTTAGCCACATTAGTAGTTCTAATCGAATTCACATCCATGACCACAGCCATGTCACCCTGCAGCCCAAGACTGGTTACTCACTGAAGCTAAGCAGGGCTGAGTCTGGTCAGTACCTGGATAGGAGACTACTAGGGAACACTAGGTTGCTGTTGGAAGTGGTGTTAGTGAGGCTAGCAGAGGGTGCTCAACCTGTGGTCTGTGTGAGTCCTAATGCCCCAGTAAATGTGAAGGGGACACTACCAAGTGTGCCGCAAGCCTACGTTTGAGTGAAGGTTTCGGCCGTTAGATCGCCCCCTGGGGGCTGGCTGCAGTACAAGTCATAAAGCCCGACTCCTCCGTGTTAATGAAGGAGACTTGAGCCCAAATAAAAAAAAATATTACACTTGCAATAAAATGTCCCGAAAGATAGTTCTGGTCGATTAAGGCACTGGTTATTGTGCTGAAATAGGTGCAGATCTTCATTTTTGTAAACAGTTTGTTTTTAGCAGTAATTTAATGCTGGGCGTGTCATCGTGATTGAGAAACTGTCTATCACAGCTGTCAAAGCGCGGCGTCTGAGCTTCGGCAGGAGACTGAAGTAGACTGAAATGTTATTATTCGATTTCTGTGTTATTTTACCATGACAAAATGAGTTCAGCAGTAAACTATAGTTTCTGACATACATGATCCTGGTGGAACACTGTTTATTCGCTAAGTTCAGGGCTTTTTTCGGGCTTTATTAGTTTGCTGATACACGCCTAACCACCCAGATAGCAAAACACAGTTCCGGCTAGATTCTCGCCTGCCCGAGACTTATCTCTTAGAGCTCAGACTGACTAATGTTACCTCTGC